GATAGCAATCATTCGAAAGAAAACACCAATCAAATTGCGAAGAACAACGAGATAACAACTAATGAAGCACGTACACTAACGACAGGTGTCTTGTCTCTGTACCACGTCGTACAATCAGCTCCACTGGACTTCCTTCAGGCCCCCTATCAATCATTTATAGTATCTAATATTAAACAATCCTCCACTTAATAAAATTTTCACAAAAATATCGATTATATCACTGATTGTAAGACTGTTTTAGAAGAAACTCACTGCAAGCGTTCGGCAGCATCGTATATTCCCATATTTTCTGTACTCTTATCATTAATTGCGAGGAGTAAATCCCCAGATAAAACTCCAGCTCTATTTGCTGGGCCACCTGGAGCAGCTGAAATAACCACCAAACCGGAGGCTGATTTATCTTTTGCTGTAGGGTATCCAATCGAAATCCCTACTCCAGTAAGAGAACTTCGTGTTCCCGACTGCCTTCAAAGGACATTAAAAAGTTTTAAATGCTAGAAAAAAAAATCAATAGCCTTCTCAGTTAACAAAAAGTCAATGCAGAAAAACGAGAGCTAGAATTCTGTACCCGAAGACTCTTAAATCTTTGGGGCTCCAAAAACCGAGTGAAAGGGTCATCCAGAGTAGAAACCATCTTCCTAATAGCCGCATCTACAGTAGAATATAAAAGAAGGTCGAACATTTGATACATTCAAGATGTAAATTTGGTTCAACAAATGCCAAAGGCAACGGAAAATACTAAAATTCATGTGCAACCTATATAAGCATAAATATGCAGGTTAATCACATCTGAAGAAAATTGGCTTCAGAAGATATCCCAAAAAGTATTTTGTTTACTTGGCAACCGATTTCTATACTACAAGTAGAGCCTGCATTTCTGTCCAAACAAATACCAAATCAAGCCTAATCTTTTTTGTACATTCTCTTCTGATTTGCGTAACTCTTTCGCTTCAGCCAACAAGAATTAATCAAGGGCAGACACCAAATATACTTTTTTCCGAGGAACTATCGAAAGAAATAATATTTGAGACAAGGACCATGAGCAATTAAGTACTCGAGAATTACGTCTTGGAAATCTTGAATATATATACATACTTGAGAAGCCTTGCAAGACAATTAAAGGTGTTGCTGGAACGAAAAGAAACTAAAAAGAAATGGAATTTTCTTGATCATTTTGTGAGGTTAAATTAGATGATAAACGAAAGTATAAAACCAATAATCTAAGTTTTGTCGACAGAGACGGGACACTCACAAGTCTCTTCTCTCGTGTTCATCGGTTCACTGCGGAGCGCATTTTCTCTATACCTAAACCAACTCTGCCCATTGAAAGTTTTATCAATATAAGCACGGTCGAGTGTTCTCCATGCCTCCAAGAACAGAAGGTTTTCTTCGGTAAGTGCCCCTACATAGAATCAAAGTATCAGAGCCGAAAAAACCAAACACAAATCTAAATATATCTCTATCTGAACGGAACTCAATTTGCCGAAGCTACAAAACTTACACGAAGGACTTTTAGTGACAGCTGCACTCAGTGTCATCACAATCATCACTCCGACAATAACACGGAGAGAAAACGAAGGAAAAAAGTTGCTGAACTTTTCCGCACGTAGTGCTTTCTCGAATTTCCTAAGCCCCGAAACGCAATCAGGCTTCAGCACGAATCCACCAAAATGCAAAACAAATCTCTTGTCGAGGCACCAAAGTGAGTGGATAATATTTTTGTATCCGTTTCTCCTACCTCGTGAATGAGCTGAAAAGCCATTTACGATTTTCTGTTCTTTACCTAATAGAGAACAGCATACTCGAATTCTACTTTTCTTCACCGGAAAATTATACGAAACAAGCACCTGAAAGCGTTCGATCGAAACAATTGAGTACTTCATTATTTGCTCAAACAATAAAACTACTCAAACTTTTCCTTATATAATGAAATTAGCTCCATAGTAACCCTACCATGCACTATAAAGAGATGTAAATTCAATAACTGCTAATCATAAATCTCCCAAATGTACTTTGTTTTTTCCTCCTCAATTTTCAATTGTGCAAATATATCAAACATGTGATCATAAATCCGGTACACCTTTCCTCCGGCAACAAATTGATGCCGGAAACCACACCAATTCACCAATTCCCATCACCGGAAAAATAAAAACAATGGGAAAATCCAGCATAGCAAATAACCCAGAATTTCCATCAATTTTCAGGTAAAAAAAAAGGCAAAATTGAAGTTCAAAATGAGGCAAAAATGGTACCTCCGACGAGAAATTAGTGGGACTTCTGCCTGAACTGCAAACGACAGAGCTTCTCAGAATCACTTCCATTTGATAAGTGCTTATTTTTCAGCCACAATTTATAAGCAACAACAAAAAAAAATCGTATTTTTCAGTATATGATTGGTAGTTAATCGTTGGCGTTTTTTACCACGTTTTTTTTTTAATATATTATTTCTCCTCCTTTCTTTTTTCCCCCTCTTATGTAGAAAAAGTTTGTGGCTATGACTCGTTTGTGACTTGCTAATGCCTTTTCACATTTGGATGAATTTTCATTTGTCCGACTCGGAAGTAGGGGTATGAACGAGCCGAACTCGGCTCTTTCGGTTCGAGCTCGAGTCTATTTTATCAAACTCAAATTCGAGCTCGAGTCCCAGCTCATTTTGATTTTCTTTTTTCTTTACAATTCAAAATTATTTATATTATAATAAATAAATTACAATATAAATAAGGGTTTTTGGCACTTTGCACCCTTGAATTACACCATTTTGGCACATTGCACCCTTAAATTGCAAAATTAGCAGATTGCACCCTGTAAATATAAATTGTTTGGCACTTTGCACCCCAAATCACTTTTAACTTAGAAAAATTACCTGCAACTTGCTGGGAAACCTAGAAGATGGGCAAATTCGTAATTCTCTTATTATCTATCATTTTCTCCAATTCTTAATATCGTTCCAACATTATTGTTATCTTTCGCCATTTTAATAGAAAAAAACCCTAAAATCTTCTTAGCCATTTTTCTTTGCCCTAATATGTAAATTCTGAATCAAAACTCAAGAATGGCTGGAATATATACACAAGAGTCCGATAATTCACATTCAGAAGATCAAGTTCTATTCGATGGTAATGTGTATCTTACTTTATATGCTGATGTTCAATTATTTTATATTTTTTTAGAGCTAAACACATTGTATTAATCGTTGTTCCCGTACATATTCTCCGTTTTATGACATTTAGTGCAAGTGTCTCCACCACATGGTTGAAAAGCCATTGCTTGTGTGTGTTATGCTATTTTTTTAATCATTTTTTTTTATTCAAACTATTAAATGGGACCACAAAATTCTCCTATCATGAAACTAATAGCCTTGTTTTCTGTTTGACTATTCAAAAAATGAAAGTAAAAATTTGAGTGCTCTGCGTATATTTTTACAGTTACAGTATTTTTCATAGCCAAAAGCAAAAATAAAAAAAGTAAATTACGTACTGTTATTGTTTAGTGTTGATATTGATTTTAAAATTTTATTCAGTTAAACAATAATTAGTAATTCTATTTATTTTGTGTATTGTGATGTTACATAGAGACATAAGCTAATAACAATTTGGAAATACCAGATTTTCAGAATGTGGATGATGTTGAGAATTGGAATGACCAAGAACATGATGAACTTGATATGGTTGAAGCTGATAGTGAAAGTGGAGAAAATGAAGAAAGTAGTGAAGAAGAAACCGACGACAACGATTCTACATTTAGTGATGGCTTCGAAAACAGTGACTTTGAATATGATGATAAGTTGTTCGATGAGAATATTGATAAAGAGATTGAATGGGTTGGCATTACAGATGAGCCCTCACGAGTTCTTGACAAGAGCAAGCAAATTGTTGGAATTCAAGCTGCTGGAAATTTTAGGCGGTCTTTAAGTGGAAGTGAGTCATCTTCAAAAGTCAGAACTTCACAGTATCATGTATATCGAGATGATGCAGATGATTCGGATTTTGAATTTGAGGTGGGATTGTGTTTTAAAACAGCTTCAGACTTTAGGGAGGCAGTGAGAAGGTACTCAAACAAGCAAGGGAGACCTATAAAGTTTAGAAAGAATTGCAGTGACAAAATTCAAGCCATTTGTGAGTGTGGATGGATTATTTATGCTGCTTTTATATCTAAAATTGACAAAACCTTTCAGGTAAAGTCAATAAATAAAGAGCATTCATGTTTTAGAGCTCCAAGTTCTCACCATTGCACTTCCAAATTTCTTGCAAATAAATATCAACACCACCTTAGGAGTAATCCTGAGTGGCCTGTTACTTCAATGCAAGAAATAATGCAAATGGAAAACCGAACATCCTTGTCTATTTGGAAAATGTACCGAGCAAAGAAGCATGCAGAAAAGTTAGACCATGGTACAGAGTTGGAACAATATGCTAGCTTGTGGCAATACTGTGAGGAGATCTATAGAACCAATCCCGGCACAACGATAAAAATCAAATGCAAGCATATTCCAAGTTCTCAAACAAGTACGTTCAAAAGAATTTATAAATGTTGGGGGGCATTAAAGAAAGGGTTTAAGGCATGATGTAGACCAATTATTGGTCTAGATGGGACACACCTAAAGACATCAAGAGGTGGAGTTCTATTATGCGCAGTTGGTATTGATGGAAATAACATGATGTTCCCTATTGCATATGCCATGGTTTTGAAAGAAAATAGGAAATCTTGGGAGTGGTTTGTGAGTCTTCTCATTGAAGACTTAAACATGAGAAATAGTTATGCATGGACCATTATTTCTGACAAGCAAAAGGGGTTGATTGGAGCAATAGAAGACTTGTTACCCCATTCCGAGCACAGGTTTTGCTTAAGGCACATGTACAATAATTTTAAGCAAAAACACAAGGGACTGCACTTGAAAGACTCTCTTTGGAGAGCTGCTTCAGCGACTAGAATTGCGGATTTTAACAAGGAGATGGAGAAGTTGAAAGCATGTGATTCAGCTGTTTATGATTGGGTGAGAGAGAGGCCTCCGATGAACTGGGCAAAGTCGCACTTTAGCACTTGGCCAAAGTGTGACATGTTGCAACAATTTATGTGAAAGTTTCAACCATGTCATCTTAAAAGCACGAGATAAACCAATAATAACCATGTTGGAGATAATTAGGGTGATTATGATGAAAAGGATTCATATTCAACGGGATAAGGAGTTGAAATGCAATGGAGAAATTTGTCCTCTTGTCCAGAAGATTTTAGAGAAGAATAAAAAAAAAGTGCAAGAGTATATTTTGGAGTGGAACGGACATGATAAATTTGAGGTTAAGGGATGGCTTGGTGATCAATGGACGGTTGATTTAACATCAAAAATTTGCAGTTGCCGAAAGTGGGATATCACGGGAATTCCTTGTGTTCATGCCACAACTTGTATTTTTTATAGAAGGGAAAGTGTTGAGAATTATGTTGAACATTGGTACAGAAAAGATACCTTTTTGAAATCATATGCACACATGCTCAACCCTTTGAAAGGATCAAAAGAATGGCCTGCTTCTACAATCGCCCCATTAGTGCCATGGCATGAAAAACCAAAAAAAGTCGGAAGACCGCTGAAGCATGACAGAAGGAAGGAACCTGATGAAGTAAACAAGAAAAAAATGAAATACTCATGCTCTAAATGTGGAAAACTGGGACATAACAAAAAAGTATGTAAAGAAATCTCTATGGAGCATCAAAGTGCAGGTTGTGCTGCTCAATCAAAGAGATCAAAATTGTCGGTACGAATAATGTTCATATATTTTACTTTCCTTTATATGTTTCTAGTATATAATGAATATTTTTATTAATAAACATGGCATTGGCAGGTGAAAAGGAATAATGAAAATATAAACTCTGTTACTACAATTTTCGAAATTTTACCACAGGTAAATAAACTGATTTTTATTCAAGTACGTCGTATATTTGTTCTTAACATTATCCCCATTAATGTCAATGTTATATGCAGGGATCATCATTTGGTCATGTACCACAAAGTGTTGGAGATTCTACAATAACAAGATTCTGCGATTGATGGAAAATAATTATTTTGAAGCCTTTTGTAGTTCGTGGCTATAGCTTTCATATATTTTTGTCTCAAATCGTGTACTAAATCATTAATTTTGAACTGGGATATTGAATTCCATCTTGCTTGTCGGATTTTTATGGATATTGAATTTTATTTTGTTTGTAGCTTGTTTATTTATGGATTTTGAATTATCTTGCTTGTGAGGTGTTTGTGAATATTAAATTATATTATTGCAGGGTGTTGATATTGAGCTATGTTCTTATAGGGTATTTATGGATTTTGAAATCTCGATCTTCTGATGTGATTATGTATATTTATTTTTATTTTTATTTATAGGGGCTCCATTTTTTTTACAATTAAAAGAAATAGCTAAAAAGATTTTAGGATTTTTTTATTAAAAGTACAAAAAATAAGAATGGTGGAACATTGATTAAAAATTGGGGAAAGAGAATAGATAATAAGAGAATTACGAATTTGCCCATCTTCCAGGTTTTCCAGCAAGTTGCAGGTAATTTTTTTAAGTCAAAAGTGAGTTGGGGTGCAAAGTGCCAAACAATTTATGTTTATAGGGTGCAATCTGCCAATTTTGCAATTTAAGGGTGCAAAGTGCCAAAATGGTGTAATTCAAGGGTGCAAAGTGCCAAAAACCCTATAAATAATGAATTGTGGTCTCATTTGCTTACCTATATTGGATTAGATCGAATTAAATTAGATTGGATTAATTCTCTATTAGTTTAACTAATTAATTAGTTAATAATATGTTTGGTTCTTTAGATTACATGTTGTATTAAATTTGCTAAATCTTTATTATATGTAAATTGTCTATAAAGTCTTTTATTTAACAAAATTAAATTATTATTTTAAGGATAAATTTGTAATTTTCCGTTTTAGTCACCCCTACAAAATTAATCGCTGGGAAAGGGGTGTTACTAATTTCATGACGTAGTAGCACTTAATTGCGGGCTTCAACTTTAGTAGCGGACTTGAGTAATATTGAATCCGACCAACCAAACATTTTACTAACTCTTACTATTTAGTTAATCTAACCTAATAGTAGCAAGCAAACGATGCCTGTATTTATTATTTTTTATATGTTCTTTTTATATTATTATATATTATTGATGGGTTCACACCCAAAGGGCCATATCAACAAGCCCATAGAAGCACACAAACCAAGCTCAAATCAACTAAAGATAATAATACAAGCCCAAGTCGGCTAAGGCCCAAACTGGCATGATCTAAACAGTTAGGCCCAAGTCGACCCATATTAAGTGGCTTAGGCCCATGAGAATATATCTCTCCATATAAATACCCGAAAACCTCACAATTAAAGGTACGCAATCCATAACTCCCGGCCAGTCTCTTGAATTCTCTGAATTCTTCTATCATACAAGGCTTACTTGAGCGTCGGAAGGTTTTTGCCGGCTTGCGAGTTCATGAACAACTTAAAAACAATTCGAGCTCGACTCGTACGGCAAAAAACTCGAGTTTGCGAGTTCGAATTCGAGTTATTTTCGAGTAGGTTCATCAAGCTCATGAGTTGGCGCAACTTATTTACCACCCCTACTTGGAAGTCAATTATCTATGCAAAAAAAATTATTCATACAATTGCAGATGGATGTAGTTTTTCCTTTTTCTCTTCCTTTTTATTCTTCTGATTTAGTTTTTTTTGTTTTAGAACTTTAAGGGAAATTAAAATTTTGTTGGTGTTAACGGGTCTGGCTGTCAAACTCGTCAAGTTAGATACAAATTTGGATCAACACAAGTTGGGTTGGGTTGGCTTTACATTTTGCAATTTTTTTATGAATCGGATCTCGAATTAGACAGAATATATCCCGAAACCGATCCGTTCTCATTCCTAGTGGGTTCTAATTCGCATTACTCTAATTTATACTCATTGTTTGTCATTGGTATTCTTTTTATACATTTGATATGTATGAAATTTTATAAGGTTATGTTTGTCCCATTTTGAAACTATTCCCATTCTTTTATCAAATAAAATTATGTTTGTTAAGGATTTCAAGGATTTTCCTAAAAAAAGGATTTTCAAGGAAAAAAAATTCAAAGTCCATATATATCTTTCGTGCATGATTTGTCTGTTATAACAACTAGTAATATTCGAAAATGAAAGAAAATAATGAAAAAAAAATTATAATAAGGAATATATTACATAATATTAAAATATTTTAATCGTGAAATTTAAATTACAGTAATAGGGATTTTTCAGAAATAACATAAACGTTGTTTACAAAAAATTAATATTAGATAAATATATTCTCTAAAACATAAACAAACAAATATTAGGCTACAAGTGGGCCTGTCTAAACAAATGTAATTGGGCTTTACTATTTCTTATGTACATGTATATTAATTCTAGATTATGTTTAAAAAAAATTATAAAAAAAATAAAACAAAAAAAAAAACAAAAAAAAAAAGAAGAAGAAACTATAAGCGTGTTTCTTGCATAAAGACCAATATCGCATCAATGGTGACTTCTTCATCATGTGTAACTGATTTTGCGATGTCAAGTTTATGTAGTCGAGCCGAACATATGATTGTTCATTTTTTTTTTGTGAATTCAATCGAATTTTGAAAATTTGCGTTGGTCGTACAACGTTATAAATCGAATTTTCGTAAGCTTATGTCGAGTTGAACACATATATTTTATTGAAAATAGATCTTTCCAAATAGTACTCATTCTATGACACAATATTCCACTTTTGAATTTTAATGCTGAATTAATTACATAATTTTTAATTATGTCATTATTAACTCTACAATATTATTTCTGCACTAATTAGTAAGCGAAGATATTTTAGTATAACAATACATATTTTCCCAAAATTAAGATATATTTATCAAAATAATTCTTAAGATTTGTGCAAAAGTAAAAAATGACACTTATTAGAAAATGGAGTATCAAATATACAAGTGAAGGAGAAATGAAATTTAAATTTAATTCAATTAATAGTTTCAAACTAGGAAGACTAGTCAAAAATTATTAGCTTTTGAAGTCAACCCACCATACTTTTTGGAAGTCTTGCTTGGAGAATTGATGCAAAGTCCCACCAAATGCATTAATTATTATGTTTTAATTAAAGCATCTGCAATTTTTGACTAAAGCTTCCATTATTTGATTGAATTTGGAAAAAAGAAAAATTGAATGTACAAATGCACATTCCAAGAAACTGTCTTCTGCAGTTTTTCGTATTGGTGACATATTTATTACGTCACATTTTATGACATGTGATTTTCTTTGGCTAAAATTTTTAGGTGAAACTTCTTGGAAATGTGGGTAAAATAGGGTCTATTAAACATCTATTAAATTTGGGTAAAATACACTTTGCACCCCCTTATTATGGAAAATGCCGCATTCACCCCCCTATATTATCAAAAACTACACGATCTTCTGGATTATGTGGAATATTCTTCAGTTTGTACCCGTTTTATCTTATTCGAACTCCACGTTTTGAAACAAGATGATCATGAGATGTGTCTCTTGTCTTGTAGATATCAGATTGCGGTGCATCATAAACTGCATTTGTACACAAACGAATACAAACTAGAGAACGTATAGCGGAATCTAGAAGATTTTGTCTAATTTAACGTTTAAAAATAAAATTAAAAAAGCGTCGGAGGTCATGAACAACTTCAGATGAGCTCAGTTAAAGCTCGAGCTCGATCTTTTGTCGATTAGTGCGCTAAAGCAATTTCACTTCCTATATTCATCAACAACCAAAAAAGAAATTTACATTTGAGTAATCAAATTAAAACTTAAAGTATGATTAAATAATAAAAATTAATGTAGTAGTACTAAATCATTAAATTACCCCATGTGTAAATAATAGTTATATGGAGAGCCACACAAAAACCAAAGAGGTTGTCATGTGGGAGACGATGATTAGGGTATAGCACTCTCATCAATGCTACTTAACCATATTTCTCCATTCTTTTAGTGCCATTAGATTCTTTCCCTTTTGGATCTTCTCAATTAAATTAATTAAATAATATAGGGTAAATTACAACTACCCCTAAGGTATTGTCAAATTACGAAACACCCCCCTCTTGTTTGGATAATTACAACCACCCCCTCAACTCATCAAATTTAGTGATATCTTCGAGATTATATAGAATATTATCACTTTTGTACCCGTTTTATCTTACTGGAACTCTACGTTTTGAAGCAAGATGATCATAATATGTGTTTTTTGGCTTGTATATATCAGATTGTGGTGCATCAGAAACTGTATTTTTACACAAAACGAGTACAAAATAGAGCACATTTCACAGAATCTAGATGATTATGTTGAATTTGACACCATAAGGGTAGAGGTGTAAGAAAAAATCATAGTTGAGGGGGTAGATGTAATTATCCAAACAAGAGGGGTTTTTTGTAAATTGACCATAACTCAGGGAGTGTTTGTAATTTACCCAATAATATAAATAAATAATATAAATAAATAAATATTTTTTGCCCCGTGACATTGGGAGATACTCCAAGATCCCATTAATTATTTCTTGTTGAGACTTTGTCTCTATCAACATCTCTCTCTTAAGGGTGTTTATGATTTATTAATTTAATAAATAAATAAATAAAAATATATATATTTAAAAATACAAATCTCAACTGTAATCCGAAATAAAATTATGCAGTTAAATTCCACATCTCAATGCATTGAACTACCATTATAGCAAATGGGTAAATATATATATATTAAAATATACTACAAGAAATGGTCTAACATCATCGTTAGACCAATTAGACACGTGTGTTTTGTTTGTAAAAAATAGTGTTAATATACCTCATTTGCGGTGTGTTAGTGGATTCAATTCATTGAGGATCAAAGACAATGTTTGGTTCTATCTTTATTTCATTTTTATTTTTTTTACAAAATGAATTATGTGTTTGTTAAATTTTTTTAAACAAAATTTAAAATAATTTTTAAAATTTCTCTCTATTCTTGACATTGACATGATTTGATTGCTATAGTAAAAAAAAAATTGACTGCTACAATAAAAATTATATTTACTAAAAAATAACCAAACATCCTATTATTTTTCAAATTCATTCTTATAAAATATTTTACATCGTTAAACATAATTTGATGTGTACATACAATGTATTTTATTTTTAAACATAACTTGACTGATACGACATATTTCGTATAATCTCAAATCATAAACAAACAATTCTTTCATTTTCAAATTATGCTCTAACAAAATGAAATAACTCCGGAAACCACTCCAAAAGTTACCCAAACATGGCACAAGAAAAAGTCTTTTCATTCAACAAGATATGATGGAATTTTTGGACTATTCAACAAAAATTGTGGAATTTTTTTCACACTTAGGTCAAAAGACAAAAAAAAATAAAAAAAAATAAAGAAATGGATGCACTAGTTCACATTATCTTCAATCACAACCACCCAATCAAAATACCAATCACCAATAACATTATCATTCCAAAACAGCCTAATCATACACAAACTATTCCAAATAGTAGAAAATTCATCATAAAAATAATAATAATATTTAATAATAAAAAATAAATAGTAAAATAGAAATATTTCTTTAACTAGGAGTAGTGTTTGGATTAGGCTCTACTCTCCTCATTTGAATACCATTATGCTTATGGGCTTCATCCTCGTACACGTAAGCAAACCCGCCGTGCCGGGTCATATCCATACCCGCCAGCTCATCATCTTCGGAGATCCGAAGAAGATTCATCTTATGCAACCCGAAGAACAGGGGGCCCATGGTAACGCTGACCCACCCGATTATTACCAGAATCTGGATCAAATGGGCCGCCAGGAGCCTCCCTCCGCCGCCCATGAAAAGCCCGTACGGGCGGCCCGGTTTCCCCGGGTACACCTCGTTCACGTACTTTTCGGTGGCGAACAGCGCCGTGAACACCACCCCCCACGCGCCGCACCCGCCGTGAAGCTGGGCGGCCTCCAGTGGGTCGTCGAACTTCACCCTCTCCGCCACCCTGTTGCACCCGATCAGCACCAGCGCCGCCACGAACCCGCACACCACCGCCGCCCACGGCTCCACCACCGAGCAGCCGGCGGTGATGGCGGCGAAGCCGCCCAGCAGCCCGTTGCAGACATCCGTCACGTTCCAGTGCCCGGAAAGAATTCTTTTTCCGAACAGGGTAGTAAGCGCGGCGGTGCAGCCGGCCAGGGTGGTGGTTACCGCCGTCCGGCCGACCGCCGACCACTGCCCGTAGTAGCTGCCGCTAACGTACGGGCTGAGAATCTTGGTGAACGACCCGGGATTGAACCCGTACCACCCGAACCATAGAAGGAAAGTGCCCAGCACCACGAGGGAGGCGCTGTGGCCGCGTAGGGTTATGGCCCGGCCCGAATGGTCGAACCGGCCGATTCTCGGGCCTTCGATTAATGCACCGTATAAGCCCGCAATGCCGCCAACCATGTGGACCACGCCCGACCCGGCAAAGTCGATGACTCCGGATCCGAATAAGAGGTTCCCGGTGTTGGTGGCGCTGGCCCACCCGTCGGGGGACCAGAACCAGTGGGAAACCACCGGGTAGACGAACCCGGTGAGGAAAGAAGAGTAGATCAAGTAGGCGACGAACTGGGTTCGCTCGGCTATGGAGCCGCTGGTGATTCCGGCGGCGGCGATGGCGAAGGCCCACTGGTAGAGGAAGTAGCTGTAGTCGAACGCCGCCGTGGGGACGTCCTTGAGGCCGAAGAAGTGTTTGCCGATGAAGCCGTTGGAGGGGCCGCCGAAGGCGAAGGCGAAGCCGAAGAGGTAGTAGAAGAGGCCGCCGGCGGCGGCGTCGAGGACGTTGGTGAGCATGATGTTCATGGTGTTCTTGGCGCGGACGGAGCCGGCGCAGAGCATGGCGAAGCCGAGCTGCATGGAGAAGACGAGGTAGGCGGAGAAGAGGAGGTAGGTGGAGTCGACGGCGAAGGAGGTGTCGACGAACTTGTCGGAGACGGCGGAGAATTGGGTGCAGATGTAGTCGGCGGCGGCGGCGGCGTTGGTGGTGTTGGGGCCGAAGAAGGAGGCGAGCTGGTCGGGGGAGCAGCTCATGGCAGCAGCCATGGCTATGGCTTGGTCTAGAGAGAGAGAGAGTAAGCCAAGAAGAATTTAAGAATTGGTGTTGTTTGGGATCCGAATTTATAGAAAGGAGAGAAGAGACGTGATATTTGACTTTTCTTTAATTTGTTGATATGAAATGATTTAACAAGGTTAATTCAAGGGTAAATTAGTCATTACCCTATGACTTCCTCTTCGTTGTTGGCACTTAAATTAAGTTACTTCATTTGTTCCATATTCACTATTTTTTATAATATTATTATTATTATTTATTCTTTTTAAGCGTTAACACTCTTTTATCGTATTATTAAATAATGAAGATTATTTAGTTTTTTAATGTATTTTTTTTTCATTATTCTACTAGTGAATTTGTTGAGACGTGGTGGGTTTACTAAGGGTGTATATTTTTCTAAAATCAAGCCATATTTGTTTAGTTTGTTATGATTTGCGCAAATCTGGAAAATCGAGGGAAAGAGAAAGTAATTTTGATAAAAAGAGATACCGATAAGATTCCCTATTTCACATGAATCTTTTTAATGACCTAATTCAAAAGTATATATAATGGGTAGTTTTAGACTTTTATTAACATGATAAGTACTCAAATAAATTAATTAAATTATCACTAAATGTATCATTAAAGTTTTTATGGAAGTACTTGAAAATAGTTTTCTACTTCTCTATGCGTTGTTGCTGCAAATGAAATTTATATGCAAATGAAATGTTAGTTGTTGCAGCTTTGGGCTAGGTTTTGGGCACAAGATCATAGGCATGTGATATGTTATTTATTTTATTTTATTTTATTTTATTTTCCAAAGGGGAATATAATTATATGCCTCGGATGTATATATTGCATTGGTAATTACATGAATAACCGATTTTTTATTTTGATAAGAGTCTCTCGTTCGTTTTTTTAAGCAAAAGCAGTCGTATGTTTATCGGTTAAAATTCATGTGAACAGTACAAACGCGTCAAATGAACAATGTGGGGTTGTGTCAAGGGTTATAAGTTTACTGTCGAAGTTCACTTTCAATATTCAGAAATTCACTATCGATTTTCGAAAGCTTATTGCCAATTATCACATTTTTTTTAGAATTTCATTGTCAATTAATTCTTGTACTCCGTTAAAATATAAAAGCTTTACGATAACCCCTATTGATCTTATAAAGTTGACGAAAAAAATAGCTATGTAAATTGTATGAACAACTTCTACTTCTTTTGTACGAATACATAAAGGTTGTGGCTATTTGCAAACATCAAAATGAAAGATTCTACGGCAGAATAGCCTATGGGAGTATGCATTAATGGGTGGCTTTTAGCTACGTGACCATTTTTGTTCGCTTTAAAAAAGATCCCGTGTTCAAATATAACAGAATGATGAAATAATCATTATTTTTAAAAATAATATATATATATATATATATATATATATATATATATATATATATATATATTAATAATCTAGTATTATTTAAGAGAAATTATTAATTTATCGAGGTTCTGTTGTAATAAATGATTTCCAGATGTGTATGATAATCCCTTTTAAGCAAATACCTGATTGCACATATCACAATCCCTCGATTAGTCAACTGCTTTGTACAATTGATTTGATTCTAATTATACCATTAACTTAATTAGTACAATTCATAATTATCTTATCTGTCACCAATTTATGACAAACAAATACTAATATATGTAGATCATGTCAGAACAAATCCATTTGATGTATATAGTTTCTGAGAAATTTAATATGTTGCTTCTAAAACACACCAGTAAATTAATTGAAGGAAATTGAATAACTTGAAAGCAACATCTACAAAATTCATAATTAATAACAAATCCGTAAAACCCGTTCAAACGTATTCGTCCTATAACGTAATTTCGATACAAGGCAACTTCCTCAATCAATTCATGGAAAATTTATGTAAAGTCAGCTCTCTAACAAATAAGGAAAATTAACACAACCTATAGATACGGGCTCGTTGTTGCATACAGTAAAAGTGAAATGACATTAATAAAAAAAAAAGAAAAACTATAACATCACCGTTGAGTTAGTGACGACATGTGACAGATTGATCACGTAAAGGATTGAGCTGCCATAATTGGAAGTACTAATCGTCTCGTTGTTTTAGCTTCTTTCTTTGCTTTCGCCTTTGCTCATGCGAACCTGGTAATGCAGCAGAATAATATAAGAGATCTTCTCGAGAAAAATGGAATGTTTCAATTTAAAATATTAAATATGCTGGTGCTGAGAAATTACGTTTTTTCATTTCTTTTCTTTTCCTTTTCAAGGTGTCTGAAATCTTGTGCTTTTCTGCAATCTCTTTAAGATCCAAGCGTTCCTGAGAGGATATGAACACGGACCAAAACTTGATTCCAGCTAGAATAAAGTAGTGTGTGTCTGTGCGTGTGTGTATATGTATATATATGTGTGTGTGTGTGTGTGTGTGTGTGTGTGTGTGTGTGTGTGGTTCGGTTTTGTAGAAATTACCTCTTTACTAGCACCCCTCAATGCCTGAAGTGGTTCCATGCAATCCTGGCCTATGACGACCATCCTTCCCTTTTTATTTGGGCCTTCGTCGACTTTCTGCCTTGCTAGTTCTTTAAATTGATGTTGAAGAAGAGGTGAGATGCCAGCCTGGCAAAATGCTTCAAATCAGTTCAAGGCATCGAAACGAAAAAGGGTATTCAACTAGACAAGTCAACATAAACGCTGATTTCATCGTATATGATATGTAAGAAATTAATCAAAACTTTCACCGGAATATTTGCACAAAATACGACCGTATAAAAGAAACTTTTGTCATGCAGTTATTCCGCATTTTACAGTTTATCTGAGCCGTTAACTCACCCCAGTTAAAAAGCGCTTTGAAAATGTTCTGGGTTGTAACGGTTTTGAAAGCAGAGTGTTGAGCTCCTGCAATTTTGAGATAAGGAATGTATTAATAAAAAAATATTTCAAACGAAGTCCGTCTCTCCGTATTACCCAGAGTTCACTCGACAAAAAATCAATCACAAGTGAAAATGCTTAAATAGTCAATCCCGACCTGCTGCAACTTATTCAACTGATTAGATTTGGTTTTGTTTTCCCTGTACTTCTTCAGTCTGTCCTCTTCACTATCACTATCGTCCAAAATCAGTTCAACCGATTCAGCATTTCGCTCTAACCAAGTTCTTTCAGCCTTTACCTGGAGAATTACAGTTCAAGCCAATGAAGAAATTTTCAGTATCTCAATAACAAATGTCAAGCGTAAAGCATATCGCAGAGGACTAAAAGTCACGGAATTTCAAAAACCGAGAACTATATAGACGCGTAATGTATGACTTAGCAACTCAACTTCCCCACAATCCCCGTCGGAAAAAAAAATATCAAAATTATTTCGCATCAAATGAAATTTCCGTTACCTGGGATTCCTTACGCACGACTTTGTCTATTTGATGTGCAAGAGATGATCGCTTCATAATATCTGGTATGTATGACATTTCAACGGGAAACCGCTGGAAACTTTCCTGAACAACCGAAAGTTAACTTAATTTAGCAAATAAACGTGTAGTACTTAATCGAAGATGCAGATGTTCGAGTGTAACTCTTTTACCGTTACGAATTATACTTTGTAAAAACTGGCATCATTCTCTCTCCTACTAGGACTTAATTCTAATAGAGAAATTACCTTTGAAAATGATCTGCAAAGAGCTGCAAATTTTGACGCGTCATTTGGTGAGATTAGAGCAATGCTGCAACCATCAGCCAACGCTCTAGCAGTTCTTCCACATCTATGAACATATACCTACAACAATAAATTTATCCTTCTTAAAAATTGCGGGTGCTCAGAAGAGAAACAACAAACAAACAAACAAAAAAAAAAACGAAAGCTGGAGAAAATTTACATCAGCTGAAAGTGGAAGCTGGTAATGAACAACGGTTCGAACACCAAATATGTCAAGCCCTCGCGCTGCGGCATCTGTTGCTACAAGTATGCTATGTTCATTTGCACGGAAACGGTCTACCGACTGCATTCAGCACAAGACATAACAAACAAACCCAAGTTAAGCATCATAGTGTAAGTGTTTTATGATCCCACACAATAATTATTTTGAAATACAAGATAAGAACGAATGTTCTAAAAGAACAATTACAGGCAAGAAAATCAACATGTAGATTTTGTAATAACTAAATGTGGATGTAGAAATGTTATTATATACTCCAATAATATTAATATCTCAAATTTAGTTAGTAGAAACATTTCATTGGACTTTTCTATTAAACCAAATAAGCATATAAGAATTTTAACGAGGCAAAAAGTTGAGTAAGCGAACCTTTAAGCGTGCCCGCTGCTGCATCTCTGAGTGCAGGGTCCACACATTTATACCGAGGATACGCAATAACGAAGAAATGCGACGTAAAGCTGCAATCGATGTACAGAAGACAATTGTACGGCCTTGGCCGTGAACACTTAATAAGTAATACAAATATGCATCTTTTTCTTCTTCCCTACATCTGCAATGCGAAATGTATAAGATACTCTATCACTTTATAATCTTGTTCGATTAACTTAGGAAAATATGAATGGAGAACATAAGCCAATAAAGGAGGACTAGCATTTTACAATGAACAGAATATTATGAAGCATGGTTTTAGTACAAGTGTCAGGTTATCTAGATTTAAAGATGTGAAGGGGAAAAGACATACTCGATAACTGATTCGACAAGCTTGTTTGTCAAAATTGAAGCATTAGTAAGGTCTACTATCGCGGTATTTGCTCTCATTCCTGCTCTCTCTGAAAGGGTTTCAATTGAATTAAGCTCCTCTTTTTTCGATTTCGCAGACCCACGCTTTAACTTCTTACGGAAATCAGCAGATAAAGCCAGCGTTGCAGAAAACACAAACGTTTGTCTTTTCTTTCTCTGGAGGCTTGAAACAGTAACACAGTTCTGTGTATTCTGAGGCTGATTCTCAGCTGATTCCTTGTTCATGGGAAGCATGTCAATTATGGACTGTAACTCTCGAAAATGGCCAGTTTCGATCATGCGGTCGGCCTCATCCAGCACGAAAAATGACAGAGAATGCAGCTGCAATAAACGAAATATTAGCCAAGGTTTCGCTAGATAATGAACATTAAAATATTGAAATGAAAAGCAATAGAAGTTTAAAACCATACATATATGCAATATATTGACTTGATATCTAAACCTTCTACAGTCAAAAATTACTTCAACATACAAAATTCTCAGTTGCTCAAATGTTTTTTGTCATTTGGAGTACATAATCATTAGTCAAGTGGAGAAGGAGCAAATAAAATTCACTCAGATAAAGGACAAAACGATTATTTCGACGTCCTACAGTTACATATTTAATGATGAGCACTATTATTGACAATGAAGAAAACCCTCTATACACAATCAATCTCGGAAAACATTTGGACTTACCTCCACAAGGTGAATATCTCCACCTGACATAAGTTCCCACAGTCTCCCCGGTGTTCCAACAACAATTTCTGGCCTTCCTTTCAAAAGTCTTTCCTGCTTTTCAGATGACATTCCACCGACAATAGGAACCACCTTAATATTGGTCCCAAATGCTGCTGCCTTGATATGATCCGTGACCTTTAAAATAGGAACAGATATTAGTGCACAGACCTTATGATCATAAAGGAAATTACAGATTGAGTATGTCGTTGCAATAAGACAGAGTTAAAGGAAGCAAAGTTGCAAGAATCTATTTAGAACACTAGAGAGGAGGTCCATACCTGAAGTGCAAGCTCTCTCGTGGGAGTAACAATGAGTGCACGCAGAACACCTAGTGGAGCAATTCTTTCACTGGCCTCTCCTTTTTCAGCCACGACTCTCTCAACTTTTTCTCGTTCGTCCAAAAACCTCTGCAGAATTGGCAAACCAAAAGCAAGTGTTTTACCCGAGCCTGTCTCTGCAGCACCAATTACATCCTGCCAACCAAACAAACAAACAATTATTAATCGTATCCCATTAGTTGCCACTATCTAATTTAATGCCAAGCATTGAAGAGATAACAACCTTCCCTTGATGGGCTGCAGCAGGAATACAAGCTTTTTGTATGGGTGTAGGCTCTTTAAACTTGAGCCTGTATATCGATTTCATAATCGTAGGATGGAGTCTCAGTTCGTTCCATGCATAATATTCTTCTTCATCAACTGATTCCTCTTCAACATTAGTGTTTTCCCCTTCATCACCAGCCGGAATCAAACTTTCATGCTGTGGGGAGCAAACTGCAAGACCCGTACCGGTATCAGAAGAATACAATGAAAGCTAACCAATTTGATCTCCGAAACAAACTTTCATCACAACCATATGATCATATCAATTCAGGGTGATAGTACATGAATGAAACCAAATCGTTATAATGAACATCAATCAAACTTATATTCAATCACGCATTGTAATAATGAAACATATTTCAGTAATAACAAGAAAGCAGTTGAACTTGAAATAGACCAAAAAACGAATTCAAAAGACAGAAGCCTGTGACATGGACATTCCAAACCAAGTGGCGTACAAAATGATCAAATTCCATCAAACTACATAACAACGTAAAGAAACGATTGAAAAAAATTCTTGAATCATCAACGTCAAACAAAATGTCTGAAATGCATACTAAACTACAATTCGTAGTCATTCGGGAACTAACTTTTTAGATAGTGGAGATCAAAAGAGTAAAAGTTTGACGAGGAAGTCAAATATCAACTAATTACCGCTAATTAAAAACCGCATACCGGTGCACTACCAAAAATATTATCTTGTTGAAACCCCCGACTAAAACAAATTGAAAACCAAGTTAAAACGGTGTCAAACTGAAATTGCAAAAGAAGAAAATCACAAGTATACATGAAGGTGAATCACAACATCACGAAACATACTTTCCAATTACTTCTACACTCTTCTTTAATCAGTATATCTCCTACTCGCGAGATGAAAGAAGAATATATCATAATTCTGCAAATCCTGATATCAACTAAAACATAATACATACCAGCAGCTGACTCTGCATTCTCCTCGGTTTTATTTGTCTCGTCATTCTTCTTACTATTTTTTTTCTTTTTCTTCTCGTTTTTCTTTTTCTTTTTCTGTTTCACTTCCTTCTTCTCATCCTCCTCTTCACTTTGTTCAGTCTTATCACCATCGACTTCTTCACCATCAGACTCGTCGTCTGAGCTCTGCGCAGCATCACCTTCATTTACCTCACTTTTCTTTGATTCCAATTGTTCTTTTATCTTTTTTCTATCAGTGTCCACTTTTGGGAGGTCGAACCCATACTCTGATTCATCGATCTCTTCAAGGGTAAGAAAACCTGCACTTGAGGAAAACATCAGCATAACTTAACCCAAATTACAAAAAATTCCAAAGAAAAGTTCACACAACAGAAAGAGAAACGTTTACACCGAAAATGAATGTCGACGAAACAAAATCAAGTCTGCATTCGGACGATGAAATCGATCATAATTCACACTTACCCCTTAATTAAAATCAATGTGGAGATTAAAAAAAAACCGCTTAGGCAAAAAATAAAGAAGAAAAAAAGAAAAGCACTAAGAACCATAACAAATTCATCACAAAAAATAAAATAAAAATTGAACTTCCGGAAATCCAATTCGCAGACCGAATCACTAAATATTACAGTTAAATTAACTAAAATAAAGCTACACATCATTCAAAAAATACAAACAATTTTTTTTAATAAAATAATAAATGGAGTAAATAGAATTAATTGAGGCAAATACCTCCTTCAAGTTCGTTGGAGCCGATGAAGAGAGAATAATCAGTATCGTCATCGTCGCCGCCATTACTCTGGGGGAGGGAGGAGCTCCACGGAAGGGAGTTGAATCGTTCGAGTTTCTCTTCCGAGTCGACTCGGGCTCTCTTCTTCGAGTTCCGATAGGCTTTCTTTTTCTGAGAAGATTCAAACCCCATTGTTGCCTCTGTAAGCGAGAAACGAAGAAGCAGGGTTTAACAGCAAATTATGGTCTGCCTTTTGATATTTATTTGGGCCAATGGGAATAAATAGCCCAGGCCCAATTATTATTTTAAGTGGGCAAGCATTTAATTTAATTTTTTTTTAAAATTGGGTAAATAATATTTAACCCATGTATGTGGTTACAAGTTTTTGGAGATGACCGTCTTGAGCTTGTAATATCAGCACATAATCACCCCCTTGCGGTTGATGGGTAGCTCCAATTAGTTTTTCCGTCAAACTTAACTGCATGTGTCAAACGTCAAAGTAATTTTTTTTTTCTTTTTTGCAGATGACCCCCATTAAAGTTTAACACATGCGGTTAAGTTTGACGGAAAACTAAAGGAAGCTACCCAAAAAATCGCAAGGAAGTTATGTGCTGATATTACGAGCACGATGGGGTCATCTGCAAAAGCTTGTAACCACATAGGTTTAAGTTCTATTTACCCTATCTTTTTCTTAAAAATTCAAATCACTGTTACAAATTTGGGAAATAGGGGAAGGGGGCAGGATTTGAACCGTAGATTTCTACACTAATAGTAGAGACTAGGAAGGTGTTTGGCTAAGCTTAGCTATTAAAAAAGATTTTATAAGATATTTAAGTGCTCATAAGCTCTTCCAAAGTGTTTGGTAATATTTTTTTTAAAAGATCTTAAAAATTCAAAAAATAAGCTGCTAGAGAGCTTTTAAAATTGGTTTAAGAAAAATATCTCTTCCCGACTTTTTTTTATTTAAAATCTTATAATGTGTAAAAATAGCTTATAAGTTCATTGTCCAAACACTTTAGAAATAATTCTAAAAATAAGGCATAAGAGCTTATCAGCTCTTAAAACAGTTTATCAGCTCCTAATACAGCTTATCAAACGATAAGAGTTTATCAACTGTTTAAAATAAGTTTAGTCAAACGAGTTCTAGGTACCAATTCTTGTTTATTTGTATTAACCCAAAATGTATTTATTTCAAAAGTAAATTAGATCAAAATCTCTAACTATGTTGAATAATTAGAGGTAATCTCATACTTTAGTAAGGGTTGTTCATGGATTGACTTGGTTGATTATTAATTATTAATGGATTTTTGACTCTCAACATTTTACCTATTAGAACTAATTAGGCTCGTGCTCAAATGATAATGTAAAACAAAAAGATAAGGGAGAAAAAAGAGAAAGCTAAAATATGCATCGCGTACTCTTTCTTTGATTGCAGCAAGGTTTAACGAGGCCCCAATATAATTATGTGTCTTTATTTATAAAAGAATAAATTCTTTAATATATATATATATATATATATATGCAAAGGTTCACGAGATCTATATGTTTTCATTTTAAAGTACCCCAACAATAAAAGACCATATTAGTTGATTATCGGTGGGAAATTGATTCAATAACAATTTAGGTGGTGTTTCAAAATAAAATGAAAAATAAAAAAAGAATCATATAATATTTACACAAGTAAATTTTGTTTTTACTTATCACAAAATAAGTTTTAGATTACAATGTCAAAAATATATTGCTTGTTTGGTTTGAAGTTGCATTTAGGTATTTATGCTCTTCTACTAATAAAAATTCCACTTAATATTATTATTAATACTAATGTTAATCTTAATCCTATTATTAATATTAAATTTGATGTATACATATAACCCACAATTGAACCACCAAAATTTGTATGAAATGGTGGGATATTTAATTTGATTCCTAGATATTATAATAGAATATGATACACCTCGTATATAACATGTATATGCATGTCGGTAACGTACACGTGGCGTATGCTGCGTTTCTCTTTACTTTTCAAATTTGTCATCATGCTAATAGTGTAGTACTATAATATTTTATTATCGAAAAGGATATTTTCTTAGTTTTCAAATATTTTATTATATTTAACCTTCTATATAATAAATGATTTGGACATTTTTTGTAATATTGAAATGAGAGGAGGAATATAAGAAGCTACTGTGACCACTTACTCATTTATGTTACGAAAAATCCTTTTATACTTGGGTAAATATAATAATTCCATCAACTATGAATATTCTAACACGTTTATTTTACGGTGTAAGTTTAGTGAAATCTTTTTTATCATGTTGAAATTCTCCAGGAATATAAGAAATTACAGTCACCTCTAAAGTAAGGTTAAATTACGAAAAAATTCCTCATGTTTGGGTAATGACAATCATTCCCCCAACTATGAATCTTTTTACATACCCACTTTTGGAATGTTACATTCAGTGGAATCTTCTTGATTGTGTTGAATATTGACCAGTTTGTACCCGTTTTACCTCATTTGAACTCCACATTTTGAAACAAGATGATTTAAAAACGTATCTCAACTATGAATCTTTTTACAAGCCCACTTCTGGCGTGTTAGATTTAGTGGAATATTCTTGCTCATGTTGAGTATTCTCTAGTTTGTACCCGTTTTACATCATTCGAGCTCCACATTTTGAAACAATATCAATAAGTGTGTCTCTTGACTTTAAATATTCGTTTATGGTGCATAAACTGCATGTTTGCACAAAACTGAGTACAAAATAGAGAACGTTCCATATAATCTACAAGATTATATTGAATTTGATATCATAAGGATGGACGTATAAGAAAATTCATAGTTGAATGATGATTGTAATAATCCAAATTGAATGAATTTTTTCGTAATTTGAATTTGCCTCGTGCTGACCTTAATATCCCAAAGAAAAAAAAAATTAATTTTTTTTAAAAACCAATTGGCTTTGCATTGAAAGAACGTACACAAGTTTGCCAGGTGTTAACATACTAGAAATCTTGGCCCCTTCAAATCTCCCAAAAAAAAAAGAAAAAAAAAAAAACAATTGATAACAAAACAAAGACATCACCATCAACCTCTTACCCCCTAATTCTAACCAAACTGTCGGAATACTAAAAAGAAATACACAACACTCTAAAAAATTCTAACCTAATTATTTCAAGAAATCAATCCATCCATCCACACTTTCCTCTTCCTCCACTCTTCCAGATTCCTCCATTTTTTTATTTTACCTGAATAAATAAATCTTCAAGAAAACCCTCATCTCAAACTCCACAAGATTGGTGGTTTTCTTGAACAAAAGAATAAATTAATTAAATCATGGTTTCTCCACTAATCACCACCAAAAACCCATTAATCACAATCAATTCTTGCACCCAGCACCTCTTCAAAGATCAGATTTTTACCCGAAAAATCCGGTGTAATAATAACTCTCAGAAGCAGAATTCCAAGAAACCCATGAAGGAATACCACAGGAGGCGGAGAACCCAGTCAGCGAGCTCCGTTGTAATAAGCCCAGGAGAAGAGATACCTGCGATCGGGCGACATAAGCCCGGAAAAAGCGGGGTAAAGAGAGGATTTTTAGAGGTGGGGGATCGAGATATGGTGGTTCTGTGTGGGGTGGGTTACTACGTGAATGGGTTCAGAGGGTTTCCGTGGCTGGCGCTGAATTTCCACATGGCACACAATCTGAACATGCACCCTTCCGCGCTGCAGATTGTGCAGAACTCTGCTAATTTGCCTATGGTGGCGAAGCCTTTTTATGGGATTTTGTCTGATGCTCTTTATATTGGTGGTGCTCGTAGGCTGCCTTACATTTCCATCGGAGGTACGCTGTTGTCTCTTTCTGTGTGTGTGTTTGTTTGTTTGATGTGCGTGTGTGTGGAGAGAGAGAGAGAGAGAGAGAGAGAAAGAGAGAGAGAGAGAGAGAGATTAAAGTTCAGGTTTTGTTCGGATTTTATAACTTGTTTTTAAGAGAGAGAGAGAGAGATTAAAGTTCAGGTTTTGTTTAGATTTTATAACTTGTTTTGAGAGAGAGGGAGAGAGAGATTCAAGTTCAGGTTTTGTTCAGATTTTATAACTTGTTTTCTGTATTTGGTTGATTATTGTTGGTTCAAGTAAGTCTACTAGTAATTTTGATGCTCTGTGTTTTGATCTGTTTGTTACTCTATATTTTTTCGCCTTTTGTTTCGTTTAGGGTGTCAAAAACTTGGATCTAAATCGATATTCTCGATTTGCAGAGTGCACCAAATCTAACTTTACCGTTATTTGAAGATAATAATGTTTCATTAAAATTCGACCTCTTGTGATATGAGAAAACATAGCTTCAATCCTCGTGTTTTCAGTATCAAAAGATCGATTTTTTAAATACCGATTAAGATGTACAACTGACAACTCTGATATATAAACCCTCTTCAGTCGTTTTGCAGGTTCTTTCTTGGGGGTCATTAGCACTAATCCCGGTAGCTAACGAAGCTCTCGCACCGATAATGGCGTGCATTCTGTTAGGCAACCTCGGCGCATCCATATCAGAAGTAGCAAAGGACGCACTTGTAGCAGAGTACGGCCACAATACCAAACTCCCCGGCCTTCAATCCTACGCTTACATGGCCTCCGCCATCGGGGGCGTTTTAGGTAATTTACTCGGCGGATTTTTCCTACTCAAGACGCACCAAACCAAATCCATGTTCCTAGCCTTTGCAGCTATGCTCATGTTCCAGCTCACAATATCTCTCACAACAAGAGAAGAATCCCTCGGCTTATCTCAGCCGTCGATCCACCGTGCCCGATTGAGCGAGTCGGTCCCACAAATCATCAAGAAACAATACTCCGATCTAACGGTTGCAGTTAAAGAAGAGGGAATCCTACACCCTCTGTTTTGGCTAGTTTCTTCGATTTTAGTGATTCCTATGCTCTCGGGTTCGATTTTTTGCTACCAAACTCAGTGCTTGAATCTCGACCCTTTGATTATCGGAATGTCGAAAGTGACGGGCCAGTTGATGCTTTTAGGGTTGGCTGTGGTTTACAACCGGTTTGGCCAAACGGTGCCCATGAGAAATTTGGCTGTTGGTGTGCAGATTCTGTACGCGTTTTCGCTGCTTCTTGATTTGGTATTAGTGAAGGGAATAAACATCCAAATCGGAATTTCGAACGAGGTGTTTACTTTATGTTTCTCGGGTTTGGCGGAAACAATTGGGCAGTTCAAGCTATTGCCTTTCTACGTGTTCTTTGCTAGCTTAGCTCCACAAGGGTGCGAAGGGTCTTTGATGTCCTTTTTAGCTTCGGTTTTGTGTTTGTCTTCGATATTTAGTGGATTTTTGGGAGTGGGTTTTGCTTCGTTTCTTGGTATAAATTCGGGCGATTACTCGAGGCTGCCTTTAGGGATTGTTGTGCAGTTTGTTTTGGCTTTGTTGCCCTTGTGTTGGATTGGTTTTGTACCCGATTTGCAAGCTGTTGCAGTGGATGAAAAGTGTGGGAGGATTGGTAGAAGTAAGAGGACAAGAATGAATAGGAGAGTGGGGAGAGTGGTGTTCGATTCGGCTGCGATTTCTTACCGTCGGGAGAGAGAATCGGATTTGAGGAGGTGAAAATATTCTTGATGGTTTCGGCGAATTTCTTGGAGCCCGAACTAATCGAACCGTTATTGATGGTTTGATTGCTTCTCAAGTGGTACAAGATGTCGTAGAACACGTCTTAATCGCGTGAGTTATGACATCCTCAAAACAAAGACAAGAAGTGAATTTAACCAGATGGTGTTGTGTGGATGGATCTTTCTTGTAGTACTTGGAAAGAGTTCGTTTCGTATAGGATTCGGTTAATTTGTAGTTCAGTGTATAAGTATAATGTTTTCGTACACCTATAACTATAGAGGTAAAAATGTAATATTAGAAAGAATATTCTTAGAATTCAACTAATAATGCTCCTTAATCACTAGAATACACAAAATCAGGAGCACAAAAAGTGAGCTTCATAGTCGAAACTAACCGAAGGACCGTCGCATAAATTAACTCAGAGCACGGGTGCGTCTTATCAGCAACGAAAAAACTGTGGGTCCCGCTATTTACGCTAATCCAACTGCACCCGGGCAATTTCTTCAGCCCTCTTTCCCTCATATCCTTCCTAACTTCAGCCACATTGTCCCATCTATTCGAAGCCGCGTGCAAATTCGAGAGCGCGATATAATTCGAACAGTTGTGAGGCTCTATCTTAATAAGGGACTTGTAAGCCAACTCTTGCATCTCGATATTCCCATGGAGTGCAGAGGCGCTCGAGAGAGCACCCCAAATACTGGGGCCCGGTTCGACTGGGATGCTCTTGATGAACTCGAGCGCTCGATTGAGCTTTCCTAATCGACCGTACATATCGACCATGCAGGCACAAATCTCCACCGTCGGTTTGATCTGGTGGATGGTGGTTAGAGAATCGTATATTCTTGTTGCGTCGTTTAATAAACCTGATATACAACATGCAGAAAGAACTCCAACCACAATGGCCTGGTCTGGCTTGACTCCTCTCTGGAGCATTTCGTCGAACAGGTTGACCGCGCGTTGACCATGACCGTGTAAACCGTACCCACAAATGATTGTGCCCCACGAAATTGCGTCTTTGTAAATGCATTCGTGTTCGAACACTTGGGTTGCGTATTTTAAGCTACCGCATTTGGAATATGTGTCGATTAAAGCGTTACTTAGAGAGAGTTCTTGATTCAACTCCCTTCTCGTTGCAAAACCATGAATTTGCTTCACTCCGATCAAACCGATAGCCGAACTACATGCAGGCAAAATAGCTACGAGCGTTACCTTATTGGGTCCCACCCCATCTCTCAGTTGCATTTCACGGAAAAGGACCGAGGCCTCGTCGAACTCCCCACAACGAACATAGCCGTTTATCACTGCAGTCCAAGTGAAGACATTTTTCAATTTCAATCGATCGAAAACCCTTTTTCCCACATGAACTTGACCGTTCTTCGAGTATATATCGATCAAACGACATCCCAGATGAACATCACTATCCAATACATCACTCGAATCCAAGCCGTTTCTAATGATATAAGAGTGAAATTCCCTCCCACGACAATAATTCTCTCTACAATCGTCAACTTCAGCGCCATCCCCACCGCACAACGAGAGGAGAGAGGAGACTGTATACGCATCGAGCTTAAAACCGTCGTTCTGCATCGCCTTCACATAATCCCACAATCTGTATCCAAACAATAACGAATCATTTCCACCGTCGACATTCGCCTTCAAATAACCTGAAATCAACGCATTCCATGAAGCTACGCCTCTAAGCGGCATTTCGTCGAACACCTTCAGCGAATCGTCAAAGCACCCAAATCTTCCATACATGGACATCAAAGAATTCCCCACCACAGTATCCGAAACTACGCCGTTTTTCAAACCCATCCCTTGCACCATTTCCCCATGAAAAACCTCCCCAAGATCTCCAACTATCTTGAACATCACCGAATAAGTGAAGTCATCCGGCAAAACACAACCGCCGCACATCTCCCTGAAAAGCTCCAAACTCTCGAGAAAAAGTTGATTCTTGCCATACCCGCTGAGAAGGGTGTTGCAGATATGCGCGTTCTTAACCAAGAGCGGCTCGAAAACCAGACGCGCGTCGAACGGACGCTTGAATCGACAGAATGCGAAGATGAGCTTCTGGGCTACGAGCGGGTGCTGCGTGAGGCCCACGCGTTGAGCTCTGGCGTGGGATTGCAGGGTGAGTTCTTCGGAGCGGTTTTCGATGGAGAGATCGAGGAGGTTGAGTAGAGAGATCGATGAGTCGGCCGTGTTGCCCAATGTGTGAAAAGTTGGAGCTTTCTTCGGCGGCCGACGGTGGTTTCTGAGGGGTGAGATTTTCGACAAGGTTATCATCCATACGAATTTGGTGCCAATTTTTTTTTTTTTTTTTTTTTTTCTGTTGATCGGAAATTTGTTTGATAGATTTATCTGCGATGATGGAGAAAATGGTGACTGAAGCTCGCTTATGGTTTCAGGGTAAATTATAAATAGACCCTCTAAATTAAGGTTTGATTATCAAAAACCCCTCATATATTTCATAATTGCTAAAAATTCCTCTATAACTAATGGTTGGCCAAGTTTACTAACATAAGAATGCCTAATGCCTAAAAGGCCCTTAAGTTAAATGAAATTGAAATCAACAATATCCTTAATGTCTAGTTGAGTTAAAAAAAAACTCTAACCTTGCAGGGATCTAGCGATTGGAACAAGTGTGCATGTGTCAACTGACCAATATTCGATTTCATGTCGAGATCGAGCTTGTCACTCATGATTATTCTAGTGTGATTTACGTATCTCGTATAGTTTGTAAGTTATTATACGAAAGTGTAGGTTGCATCTATATACTTAGTTGCGTGCGGATTCATTCATTACGGAAAAAAAAAAAGCCTAATGTTTGTTTAATCTAGATAGTAAACATGTTCCCCTTACTAGATATTTTTCCTTTTTCTGCAAACTCCGACCTCATATTTTTGTTTCGACGAATTCTTCAATGAAATTCCTACGACTTCAATGACATCTCGATATTGCGCATAAAAGCATATTATTGTGTGTGTATTCTTCTCAATAAAAGATGAGTATAACAGTATAAAGCTAATCAAATACCATAGATATGGTACACGAGTCCTTAAAGATTAGGCTATATTAAGTACACTAATTATAAATATCGATATACACGATTTTTATAGCAAGACCAATTGTAATGGGCTAGTATTTTTACTTATTTTCCCAAGCAACGTGCGCGTGTAATTACAGCCATCCTCAAACTATATAACACAACAGCTTATAATTGAAAGTAATTATTACAATTACTCAAACATCAAGAACATTTTTGTAATTAATCTTAAATCAGAGGAGGGTGACCGTAATTTATCCAAAAATTCAATACACAATATTAAAAACCAAAGTATAAGATATTAGTATCCATTAAATAAGTCAAAATAAAACAAGGAAATCCCTAACAATACACAAGATGAAAAACCAACACCCTCATACGAAAATGTACATGGTACTTAATTAAAGATACACATAATTTAAAACATGGAAGACAATAAAAATAACCACACACATGAAACTATTTTTCCGCCAATCAGATGGCGGCACCACCAGCTGTGACACCGCCCTTGGACACGGGCTGGGTTCCGGGCCCACCGAAGCCATAGTCGGAGTCTCTATACCCAGGCCCGTAAGCCCGGTTAACGAGGCCCGCGTGAAGCATAAGAACATAGAGCAACTGTGTGAATGCTAGAATTATAACAAATGCCTCCACCATCCTCAGCCTCCAACCCCTCCACCCTCCAACATTTATCTCCTTGCATGCCAATCTGCAAATTCAAGAATGCAACGAATATTCCTTTTTTTTTCTTTACTAATTAATTATACTAGTGATATTTAAACTTTGTTTAGCAATTTGATGCAACATATATAAATAGTGGCGTAAAATGCAATAAACTCCTTTCGGAATATCGTTCTATATAGGGCAAATTGCACGTCACCCCCTATAAATTTCTAATTTTCACATTTTAGCCACTGAAAATTTGAAAATATGAATGCCCACCTCAAAATATTACTCTTATTGCACACCGTCCCTTAGCAAAACTTTGATGGATTATTCACTGGAGTTTCGAGCGTTTTTAATGTACATTGTTGTCGACTCTTCAAATGTTATTTTTCTTGCACCTTAGTCCTTTAAAAACATTATTTTTCTGCAATTTGCCCCTTTAAAATATTATTTTTTATACAATGCCCACAAAACTTTGATTTTCAGAGGCAAAATGCAACCAAAATAACGTTCAGAAGGGAGGTTATCCATTTTTCGAATTTCGAGGGGCAAAAAGTGCGAAAATGAAAACTTCATAGAAGATGAAGTGCATTTTTTATCCTTCTATATATTTATTAAAGAGCTACCAAAAATGTCCTGTTCGAACGTAACACATACCGAACGATTTCTATATATATATATATA